TCATATGGTAGCTCTATTTTCAACAGTTTGAGGAACGTCCATACTTAAACAGTGAGGTCATAATCTATGGACAGTGTAGATTTGTCTGCCCTAGCACATTGGGACCAGATCTTAGATTTGGTTTTTTAAATCATAAACTTCATTAAATTAAAACAAGCTAAATAGTTAACAAACATACACTTAAGCATTAGACCTATATAGTGCTACCTTGACCTTGTTGATGCTCCTTAATTAGGTCTTCTAAGTTGTGTTTCCACTATGATTTCCTAATTAATGTCCACCTTTCCCTTGTTAGTGCTACCATGTCAGTTGAGAGCTGCATTACTTCCCTCCAGAACTATTCCTAAACTTACTGGGTCTTCTTACTTCAATACTTATTCATTTATTTAATATTTATAGTGTTTTTGCTGTATGCCAGCACCTATTTTAGATGTTTAGAAGGCAGAGATGATTTTGCAGTGTTTAGGAGAGACTTTATACTACAATGGGATAAATGTCAGACATTAGAGGAGTATAAAGTAGCCAGATGATGAAAAGAATTTGTTTGCTAAACCAGGGACTTTGAACTTTAGCCTGAAAGTACTGGGAAACATTGAAAAATTTCAACAGGGGATAAAATTCAGACCTATTTAGGAAAGGTTACTGTGGTCAGTAAAGAGATTACTTTGGAGGTAGAGCAAGTCTAGAGGCAGGGATCAGCTAAAAGTCTAATGCAATGATCTGATCTACACTGCTGCCACATTAAATCCTTTTAAAGAGTCTCCTGTCATAGAATCTGAACTTTGAGAGCTGAGACATAGTTTACAGATATTCCAATTCGATTCTTTCATTTTTCACAAAGGGAATAGAGGCTAAAAAGAGTAAAGGGATTTGCTCACAACCTCTAGACAGTCAGTGTTACAACTAATAGTGCTAGAAGTCAAGGTTGCAATCAACTTCTTCCAAACTCCTGATCATGTTGATATTTTGACCTCTCCACATAAATCACAAATGTTCTTAATGGCATCTAGAATAGTGAATCCTTTCCAGGAGGTTTTCAATTTACTTTCCCCAGATCCAATGGAGGAATTGTTCTATATGGCTGCCATAGCCTTACAAAACAGATTTCTTTCTTTCTTTTTTTTTTTTTGAGTGAACAATTTTTATTGAAACCCTCAAAGATTAAAGAGGACCAAATGGTGAGTTTGGGTACCATAACAGAAAATCTCACCTAACTGTACCATCATTCACA